TCCAAAACAAATGCAAGCAAAGCAGCTGTCAACAATTAAATGAACATTCAAAATGCCCGAGCTTGTCAGACATGAGCACCAACATAACGCTACAAAAAAATTGAAATTCGATTACACGTAACCCGCGAAAAATCAAAATTCGCGATACTTTTTGAACGAACCTCGTATATAAAATGCATTTTCTGCTCAGTCTCTTAATTACATTCGAAAGTTTGTATAAACATTTTTGGTGAAAACTTAACAGCCTTAGCTGCTCTAGTGGAATTACATTTTCGTATAGTCACTTTACAAATCACTTTCCAAAGTCTGCCAACCAAATAGTCTGCTCTGCCATTTCAGTTTTCAATGTCTGCTGCAAATGCCGTTTGTTTACATTATTACATTGTACACTTGCCCTTGAATTGATTGACAGATTGCTGTCGATTATCTGCCCGCAACGATTATCAATTCCAAAGATATTTTCTATGAAATTGCCACATTATTCAATTTAAGAAATAAAATAACAAAAGAAATGAGAAGAAATTAAGCAGATGAACGGACTTTGAGATATTTCCGTAGGAATTGTGGGAAGAACAGGCAAGAGTCAATTAATTAAATTAATAAATACAAATTCGAAAAAGTTCACAAATTGGAAAATTTAAAACATAATTAAATACCGAATTACGAACTTCTAGTTCCTCCGGCTACTTACACTATTAATGATGCGCAAGCAAATAGATTTATTTAAAATGGACGGAGTGCGAATTATGCTTGAAGGCGCAGCAGCAGGAGCAGCCAAGCGGCTTCTGATTATTTTAATTCGTTTCGTCCTTATTTACAACAATAACAACAGCGAATAAAATGACGTGACTATCATTACGGCGCGTTTTATTGTTGTTCACAATTTTTCACATTTGTTTTGCATTTATTTTCATCTATCTCTTCAATTCTTATATTCACTCTCAAACATTTGAACAAACATAAAACATTCAATTTTCGAAATATGCAATGTTCCTTCCTTTCGATGACATTTAAAACTGTCAAAGGAGCAGGTCCGGGAGGCCAGCAACGGCGGTTGGCAGAACGTCGTATAAAAATAAATTTTTTTGTTGTCATTTTGAATAAATAATGTCATTGTGTATTTGAAATTGGTGTGAAATTGAAATTGATGCCGACAAGCTGGTGATTTATAAGTCATTGACGCAAACAGAGAGTGAGAGTTGGCACAATGAGGAGAGAGTGAAAGGTGTTTTGTTATTGATATTGCGTTGGATGAAGTGTTGTTAAAGAAGAAGAAGCAAAATTGAAGCGCTTCCCATTGGACTTTGAAATGTAAATGATTGGCGTCGGGTAAAAGTGAAATTTTAATGAAGTTCTTGTGTTGAAATTTGAATCGAATTTTGTTAAATTCCTTTGCGCTTTTCAATGGACATAAATCATCATAATAGGTCAAAATTGAAATTTTGTGATTTTATTATAAATTGTAAAAAATATTTAAAAAAATGTATTGTTGAAAAAAGAAGTTTGTTGCTACCTTTTTTCCATACAAAAGTCGTAAGATCCGGGTTAGGGCTCAAAAAACTAAAACAAGTGTTTCGAGGAAATTATGGTTCAGGTCTGTACAATATTGAATATTCTTATGTTACAAATCAGTCAGAAACTTGTTGTAAATCGAGATCTAAGTACGCTTGAGTTGAGTTAAATAATTATTTATGCCATATTAAAATATATCATTCATTTATAATCAGCTTTAGATTTGAAATTTTTTTGTGGTTCTCAGCTTAGACACGAGTTTCTGAACTATTATATTGCATTTGAAAGTCTCTCACTTTTTGTAATAACCACAACCCATTCAGTCATTCCATTGTCCGTTGACTTAAGAACTTTACTGAAAATTTAGTTTATAAAATCTCAAATTCCCTTTCAGCGATACTTTCCACACATCATCATCGAGTTTCATCGACCACAATCATCACACAACAGAAATTATGCTCTTCTCTTACTTTTCAGCGATAAAAGCTTAGTCTTTCAATGAAAACTTTTCTGAAAGTTTCCAGTATTTGTATTTCGCACAATTGGCCAACAAAAACAACACAGAAATAACAAACCACAACTTGTTTGAAGTGAAAATATAAACAAATCAAACAATAACAACAATTAAAATGCAAAATATATCATCCGCCTTAACTAAAGTTGTTGTGAGTGTGGGTATGAAGGTCTATGTTGACTTAGGAGAGCATAATTTCCGTATTTAAAATCTTTTTCTATTTGCAAAATTACGATTTGTATTTTTTCCTTTTTGATTCTTTTATTGTGCACTATTAACTTGGCAGGTAATTAAAATATTTGTAAAGGCAAAATATTTGACTGAACTTATTCTCCGTCTCTTTAAGGTTACACTAATTTCAAAGGGAAACAAAAAAGACTAATTAAAAAATTTTCAACTTTTAGAAAAGCGAATTATTTGTATACAAATGTGTATGCACGTCAGAAAAGAAAATGTTCAATTGGGATTTTAGAGAAACTCAATTTTAAAATCTCTCTTTCAGGCGCCACAAAAAACTTTCTTTCAACAAATATTAAGAAAAAAGCGCATTTCGCGTGCCTCTTAAAGGCAACGAGATTTCTAATATTCCCTGAGACTATCTCAGCGAGACAATCGAAAAAATGTTTCCCAAAAATTTTGTATCGCGCTGATGTCAAGGCTGGACAGTGGCAGAGGTAGTGCTCGATGGTCTTTTCCTCTTCTTCATCCCGGCAGAAATCATTAGAATGGTATCCCATTATTTTCCCGTGAAGCCCCATTAAACAGTGTCCAGTTATTATGCCCGTCCTAATGCTAATGAAGAACCGGCCTAGAAGGATGAGATGTTTGGTCAGTTTCGGCCATAGCTGTTTGGTCACGTTATACGTGATCTCGTTCAACCATCTTGAGTCAGCTTCTCTGGTAAAAGCCAGTTTAAGCATTCCGCATCCCGCTATTCCATCAAACTTCGAGCCAGCTGTTAAAATGGCTATGGCTCCCTGGTTAAGCGTTGGTAGTTTCCTACTCGCACCTGTATGGGATTCTCGTGAAGAAACGATTTTCGAAGCACATGCAGGAGGTGGTATAGTCTAGCTCCTTTGGCACTTCTACTAGAAATCTTCCAAGGTTGAGCAGCATTCAGTCTGATTGCATTGCAGCCCGCTTGTTGTTTCCCAAATCGATCCCATATAACAAATTATCTATGAAGTTAAAATTTTTTCATGCGGTCCTTCTTGCAAAGGAAAATTTTGTTTATATGAAAGCAACAACATAGGGTGTAAATCCATCAGCTGTTTGGAGGCGGTTTAAAGCTGCAGGTCTCTAAATTTAATAGAAAAAACAGTCAGACAAAAAAGGCAACACCACAAATTACCGCTTTACCGGTTTTTTATTATTTTCTTAGCATACCCCCCCTTTTCCCAGCAAAGTGGAAAATGCGAAAAAGTTTAAACATATATAAGTATGTAATATAAACGTGTGTATGAGTGTTTTTCGCAGATTTATACAAAGTTTTATTACCTGCTTGTTATTGTTGCACATTTTACATGGGATAATTTAATATGCTTAGTTCGTACAAAGAGTTCGTATAAACATTCTAAGCAGATTTATTCCCTCGCTTGCAAAGCATTTTGCCAATTGAGGTGAAACGCTTTAAATGAAAATTAAATTAAATAAAGTTTAGCATTTGTCAGGTCCTGCAAGCTTAAGCGCTCTGGTATTTTGCCAATTAGTGTGTTTATGTTTTTACGGTTTTTTCCATACTATCTAGGTCTTAATTTTTCTATGATTTTATCTAAAAAAGTGGTCCCCTAACACTCTTCCGCTAACTTTCACTCCTGCTACCTCAATTTTCCATATCTTACACTCTCCCTAACTTTGCCCCTCTCGTCATATATACGTGTATATATATACATATACACATAAAAATATATATAGATATATTTCTTTATCCTCAGTATTAGCTATCATCTTAACTTCAAGCAGTCTCTTAGAAGTAACTAAAAAAATCACTTTAGCTTTAATAAAGAAATGCAAATCTTCATTTGACATGCGAAGTATGTATGGCTTCACCTAAACTAAACTAGAGTAATTATCAACAGCTAAGAGTCGACATTTAAGCTTTGCGAAATTCTTGAATAAATTCAAAAATGCAATTTATTTTGCTTTCTGGCACGCCCCACGGCTTAATGTTTTCTGTTCTATTCTGCGTGCGTGCCACGCACATAACATGGATTACTGTCAGTATACTAGTGAGAATATGTACTCTTATATAATATATGTATGTTTGTAGATGAAATATTTTCTTTTCGCCAGTTAAATGTTTTCTTTTAATTTTCGTTGAGCCACATTGGAAGGGACATACAGGTATTACATAGTTAAACCAATGAAGTATTTAAAATGTATTTTTGCATTTGCATTTTAAAATTCGTGTTCCATTTTTCATAATAATTTTAATTAACGCAGATATCGTTTTATGGAATTTTTCCATTCAGTTTATTACCTTTTATTTTTCACAATTAAATAAATTAAATTAAAATTTGTTTTGTTTTATTTTGCTTTACTTCATTAATTTTTTTATGCATTACTTTCCTTTATTTCATTTTAATTTATTGTATTTTATTTTGTACATTTTTTTAATTCTTTCTAATGTATTTGATTTTATGTTATTTTATACTACTATATTTTATTTCTCATTTTATTTTACTTACTTAACTTTACTTTAATTTTATTTAATTTAATTTTTTTTTATTCTATCTTATATTATTTTATTTTATTTTATTTTATTTTATTTTATTTTATTTTATTTTATTTTATTTTATTTTATTTTATTTTATTTTATTTTATTTTATTTATTTCATTTCATTTCATTTTAATTTACTTTATTTATTTTGTCTTGCTTAATTTATTTCATTTCATAGGAATTATTTTATTTCATTCATTGTATTTTATTATATTTTTTTTATTTTGTTTTTAATTTAACTTATTTGAAACTTACCGAAAGCAGCGCGTACGTAATCCCCGAGATGTGTGGTATGTTTTGTTCCGAAATTTCTACTAACAAATTCCGGAGATTTGGAGTTAAGGAATTATTTGTAAATCTAGTTATTAATTGTGGTAATTTGTTGTACTTTTCATGCAATGTAATATTTTATTTCCACTCTATTTCCATTTTAAACAACTTTTCGTATTGAATTTATGCTTGAAAAGAATAGCACACTTTTGAGACTATATGTGTTTTTTTACACTTTATCGGACTTTGCACTATTTGAAGCATTATATAGTTTTTACAAAATTTGACTTTTATTTTTATTTTAATATAATAGCATTAATTTTCAATCTTTATATGCTTTAATCAGCATTAAAAAAGAGTGAATTTTTTTTATTTTTCCATTAGTAAAATTATATATCACTTCCTCTTCTGCGAATCCTTCTGATCATTAGTTTCTACCACTTATCAATCAACCGTTTTTGTTTTGCGTTTAAGGAGTTCAAACACGTCTGATGACTGCGAAACCGCGCGAAGGACTAAATGTTTGTGGCTCAAGTTCATAGTAAAGGAAAGCGTTTACCAATCGACGCACGATTGCCTTACATTCCGAAAACAACAGAGGCAACACAGTAGGCGAAACTTGCGATGAAAAGAAAGGGAAAACATGCAAAAAGCAACAATTTCTCATATAAACAAATCATAAATCGTCTCAGTCGCAGCAGCAGCAGCAGCAGCAGGGGCTGGTGAACTGTGGACGTTGTCTACAGCGTAATATGTGGAACAAAAATTGTAATGATAAAGGGAAGATGAAGGTGAAGAAGAGAGCCAAAAATCACGCGGTGCACGTGGTGGACTCCATTGCCTTGACGCTTAAGCAGGTTGTTTCTGCTAGCAAATGTAGCGTTAGTAGCTGAAAGCTATGGCTTTTACATTCACGGCTTCAAATTTTGGGTAAGTAAGTGCCACTTTGGCGCGTCTTTTGATTTTCAATGTGCTAAATGAATGTTGTCATGCTTCAGAAACACTAAAGACATAATTAACCTTTAACTTACGAAGCATGGCTGCTGGAAAAGTTTAAACGCCCAACAATGGAGACAAATAAAATTGATCTGCGCACAGTACAGTGACCAACAAGCACATTGGCGGCAGCACGCGCAGTTTTGGCTTCCTTTATGCAATTATATCGCCCACTTTTTACGGTTATCTGGTTTTGCTAAGCGACCTTTGCTCGTTTGCTGGGGTTTCACACTGTCACCGCACACAGGCCAACCCATTTCTGCTCCACCTCTGGCGCTCTCTTAAGGTAGGTTGCTATGGCTGGGAGGCATTCGCCAAAATCCATATGTGTGCGCGAGTATATTACACGTTCTCACCCAAATATCTTGCATACAAATGAGCTTAGCGTGCGGATGGGTCTACGTAGATATGTATGTATTGTCGCGAATTGACGCCCTTTAAATCTAGAAACTTGAACTTGGTTTGTTCGCAACATTTTTTCCTTCCTTGAGTTCAAGTTCATTCATACTCTGAAACCTGCTTATTTATGACTTATTGACATTCATTCGTTTTTCGCTGTTACGCGGTGCGCATCTTCTTGACTTCATATGTAAAGTATTTTAATTAGACAACGCACGTCTTGTAAACTGACATATTTTATTTAATTTTTGACAAAAAAACAACTGTTACGCTCAAAAATTTACGAATTTTCACTGAATACTTCGAATCAAAATTCTACTTTACTGCTGAGAGAGTGAAGTTTCAGTATTGCTTGCATAAGTCTCAAGCGCGAGACATTTTGCCCTCGATGTTGGGCGAGAAATACCGGCTAATCGCAAAACTACATTGATGTGAGACTACCATCCAAACTAAAGCCGGTAGCTCAACTCGGACATCTAAGGTTTTCTCTTTCATGCGCTGCAAGACACCTTTTGAGAGCATACGATGACATAAGGTATGATGTAAGCTTAATCCGGTAGTAAGTAATAGATGGGCTAAGCAGAGTCTCCAACTAGCACTTTTTTCTTTCAATTACTTCGTTCATCTCTTGATTCTCACAACTTTAAGCGAACACCAATCTGCTTTTGGGTATTTTTCAGGCAGCAGGTGCAACATAAAACTCTTCACTCTACTACGGATGCTACTGGCCTGGGCAATAATGGCGCATACAATGGCACACATATGAGTGCTGACAAGCAGTGGAATTTTTACTTCTTTGCTCCGCTTTTTGTTTCGCAGCTTGTTTTTTATTTAGGCTTTTCGGGTTTGTTTTCTGACATTTCAAACGGTATTTATGAATAATGGATTTTTGTATATATGTATGGATTATGTACACGTTTGCTCTTCTACTCACCAGTATATACACATTTGTATGGTTGTACGTGGCTGCTGTAAGCTTGTGTAATGCCATACTTAAGATAAATGAACTCATAAACGAATATGCGAATACGTTTTTACACCATAATATATAAATATCCTTGAGAGAAATATAGTAGCAGTTTTACACTCACTACTCGATTTTCCACCTTTTGCCCATGTCTTTTGAAATGACAATTATCCATAAATGCGTCATCTTCATACTAGTTAAATATCAGTTCTGTTATAAATGTTGAATTTTTATTCCGAGGAAAAAAAAACTAGAAACAAATTTGCTTACAATAGGACCTTGGATCAATTTCATGGTATTAACCCCTTGCAACTCGGCTAACATTTACGAGTATATACGAATAGTAACGACAAGCTGTACACTTCAACAGACCATACAACACACTCGTGTGCCAACTCGTACCACAACTAAATACAACATAGAAACTTATTATTGTGCCCGCAACAAAAAGTGAGCTGGTATAGCTTCATCTTTAAAGTACTAGTATTTAACTGGAATTTCAAAGCACTAGTTGGGCTTTTCAGAGTAGTGTATAGTACACGAATCTGTATATTTTGAAACTTTCTTGTTTTTGGAAGGAAGAGAAATTGGCAGAATTTTACCTTCATACCTCCCTTCCTACCTTCCTTATCGCCGGGATTAGCAGCAAACATCTGTCAGGTGGATAATGATTCACGAGGCAACAGGGCCTGCAGTAACAGCAACTAATGCTGGTAAACACTGCAAAAAGGAATGAAAAGAGGTAGATGGTAAAGTAAAATAAGCAGCAGATTGGCTTTAGCCTATTTCATGAAAAAATGAGTTAGTGTTTGATAATATATACATGCACACATGTATACATATAGGTGAATAAGTACATTTGCATGCACGTCAGTGTATGTGAGCTCTCTGTACCTATGTACATTATGTCATTACGTATAAGATAGACTTTGGAATGAAAGGCAATTTTAATAAGCGTTTTAAAATTAGAGTTTACTTGATTAGGGTCTTAAATTTTTTGTCTATACTCCTAAGGCACTGCTTTAATTTAATAAGTTTTTCCAACAATATAATTATAAAAGAGTCATATCCGGAAAGTAGATATACCGACGCTCTCACTACTGGAAGGATTATACTTTCGCCATGTTAGCAACACGGTGGGTTAGCCGGACTTCTCCATTTTGCAAGAAGGCCAGTTCAAGGTCAGTACGTTAAATGCCAGACCACATACGGCCAACGCCACAGAAGAACCATGTTTTATATATGACAGAGCGTCAGCGTGCGCTCAGTTTTATTTCTAGCTAGGAAATCATACAATCCAGCACTAGTAATGTAACTGCACAACTTTATTTATTGGCTAAATTGCAGCTAAAATCATATTAGCTAAAGATGGTTGCCACCTGTTCGAAAAAGTTGCATTAAAATAATTGGTGAAACAAAGAACCCTTATTAAGAGTGGGAAAAACAAAAATTCGCATCAGCTGAGTAGTAAGTAGTGCCTACTAACATGCGGCGGGCAAAAAGTTCGAACGTCGTTTATAAAGGATCGGCATCTGACTTAAAACTAAAATTTTCTTCTTTTTTTCCACGGTCTAATGTAACTTTTCCTGCAGAAACCCGTTATACAAGGCGATTTCTGTAAAGGCAGACTTTCAAGTGAACTCTGCGATGGTTTTGTATGGCGTTTTGTAATTTCTGCGAACTCAACTTACAGTGATCCTGTGTGCATAGCTCTTGCCATATTCATTATCCCGCGTTTATATGAGACTCACTCTACAACTTGCTCCAATGCAAAAAGTTTCACAATTGCAAAGAGTGAGGCAAAGAGAAGAATAGAAGAGCACAGGAGAAAAAAAGGAAAGAAAAAAGAGCGAAATTCGATGGCTTCAGGACATTGGGTAGAGACTGGCGAACAAACTTTGAATGACGCTCTCACCCCTCTCCAAATACCACATTAATTTGCATAAAGCGCAACCACAAAACTGCTAAATGCAGAAAATTTTTGTGAGAAAACCTTCAAAACTTTATAATAACCATAATTGTGCAATTAAGTCATTTCATTTCGCCATAATTTCCATTGATTGACTGCTTACGCATACCTACACACATCCACATCCACACACACGCAGAAATACAAGGCACATTGCAATATAAATTGCATCACACAGAACGGAACGAAGCCATTGCAACTAAATACGGAATTAGGGAATTCGAAACTTACTTTCTTCCAGTGAAAATATAACAACAACCATTTGTTTTGCAACGAAATGAAATTCAAATTTCTTTCGCGCACTTTTCCGCTACGCGACTATTATTTCTATGTACCACAGCTTTGTTTGGGTTCAATGGGCTTTTGGCCGATGGACACGTGTCGGCAGCAGGCAGCCAATGTCGGCGCTTGGATGAATCTCATCATTTTGGCCATTGGAGTTTTCACCGAGATCCACGCTGGCTGCACTGTGCTGCGTACGGACTTGGAGCTTGCTTTGGACACACTCTGCCCGGCTGGCACCTCGGCCGTGACTCTGCTAAAAATGACTTTGATATATTACTATCGTCAGGATCTGGCCTGGGTGTTAGAGCGGATGAGGAGTTTGGTGTATGAACGCGATGGTGAGGTCAAAAAATTCCGAAGTTTCAGACACATAAAATACTGTAACGATCAATGTAAGCTGAGGAAGTTTGTTCTATACTGCAGTATGGAACACCAGAGACATTTCCAAATATGTGTACATTATTTAGCAATGTTATTTAGTTATTTTATAAACATTTTTTTTTTGTTGATGTATAATACAATTTACTTAAACATTTTTGTTTTTATAAAAAAATCATATATTATTTTTTTAACTTTTAATTAATGCACTGCTGTTAGGCGATTCTCTAACTCTACTTGGTTCTTTCTTTCCATTTGTGTATATATATCGTTCTAGTGTCAATAAATCCCATTAAGAAGCGCATCATACGCGCACATGCCGTTATGGCGGCAAGGCTCAACTTCATTCCGTTTGTTATGGGTTTCATTACGTGCACCTCGTACAACCTCAAGCCACTGCTAATCACATTGATACTCTATATGCAAGGACAACAGCCGATGTGGAAATTGCCTTTCAATATGACGTGAGTAATAACAGCTCACGTTGACAACGCACATACCAACACACAACCAAAATGTCAGGCCTCTGGGACTGATGTGTTTGTGGTGTCATCTCACGCGTGACAAGACACAAATATCTCTCTCTAAGTAACGTTTCTTGTCTCTCCTCCACAGCATGCCAGCTTTCTTGTTGCGCGCTCCCTATTTCCCGTTCACCTACATTTTCACCGCCTACACGGGTTACATAACGATTTTCATGTATGGCGGCTGCGATGCATTTTACTTTGAATTTTGCTCGAATGCTGCGGCGCTACTGAAGCTGTTGCAAGAAGATTTGAAATCGATCGTCAGTTTTGGTGGCAGAGGTAAGTCGACGAGCAAGCAAAATGGAAGTTCAATGAATGTTTAGAGCGAATTTGTGCACGTTCTCTTGCGTGTTTTCCTCAGAAGAACAACTGGTTTTCACAGCGCAGGAGTCTACTTTGCTCGAGTGGCGTTTGGTGCGCTTCATAATGCGGCATAATGATATTATAGAGCTCACACGCTTTTTCTGTAAACGCTACACTATCATCACGCTGGCGCATTTTGTCTCTGCTGGGCTGGTAATTGGGGCGAGTATATTTGATCTCATGACGGTAAGTGGAGAAGCTAGAGAATACACAACTATTGCACTGTCTATAAATAATAGCACAAAGTATAGTGGCGTACAGGAGCTAACTCGTTAAAGCTAATGCGCTGAGATCAAACACTACGAAGTGCTCAACAGAGGGCAGCATTCTCTTTCTGTAATTTTGTACAAAAATTTTTTATGCACAGCAGAAAATACAATCGACTGTAACAACAGCAACAAAGCATTGTCTTGACTGATTCCAAACTAATTTCAAATTGAACCTGTTATAGTTTCACGGCTGCCACATGCAACTTATTTTCATTCATGCACCTGCTTTTGATCTCTTGCTTATCGCTCCACGATGAGTCTTAACTTCGTGTCATTAATTATTTTCCAGTTTACCGGCTTTGGCATTGTCATCTATATTGCCTATACAATTGCCGTATTGGGACAGCTTTTCATTTATTGCTATGGCGGAAGCTTGGTGGCGGAGAGTGTAAGTATGTTTTTGGAAAAATAACGGCAAGGGCATTACATACCGGAGATCCATATTTATTACTCAAAAATTTCACAACAAATTTATTCGTCTCCTTCTAACGATTTCCCTGTTCTTGCTTTTCCAATTTAGGCGTTCTACATAAAAAATTAAAAATTCTTTTATGCTTCACTTTAGAGCGTTCAATTGGCCACCGTCGCATTCGGCTGTGATTGGTATGCGTGCAATCCCAAACTGCGTCGCTATGTGCTAATGATCATCATACGTTCACAACGAGCCATCAGCATGTCAGTGCCATTCTTCTCGCCATCACTAATCACCTTCACGTCGGTAAAAAAAATGAGATCTTTTCTAAATCTGTTACTCTATTCAGTTTTATTGCAATTTTTACCTCACAGATACTACAGACATCCGGTTCGATTATAGCTTTGGCCTCTTCGTTCAAATAAGGGAAAATAATTAAACAATAACTAAAAGCAATAATCACATGTTCTTAGTGCGTGCAACTGTTGCTTAAATTGTTTCGCATTAATTTCTGCGGCATTGCAGCCGCCCAACTGGATGAACAAGCTAAAAGTTACGTATACGCCACGGCATTTTATTATTATTTTTTCCACGTCATAGAAAACTGTAGAAACTGATTGCACATACATTTGTGTAGTGAAACCGAATAATTTGCCATAATTAGTGGACAGAGATTAAACATTTTCAACCGTGATTAACTCTAATTGACATTATGCGATATTATAAAAAAATATGCCCTCTTTGGCTATTAAACATTGCTAAGTACTTGTTACAAATCCTGAAATATTACACAATAATAGCTGGAAATATATTTACTTGTTTTTTGCTTTTTAATGTTAAATTTTTTCGTTTTTTGTTGCCTACCTTTAATAATACTCCCATTTAGTACTATAACTAACTTTTATGTGGCTTAAACTTTATCAAATATTACATACTACTTGAAATTAATTGATTAATTGATACAAAAATTTGTCTGTAAATAAATGTAACATTAAATGATGCTTTAACAAACAATTCCCTCCATGCTTTAATAAATTTCAACCACTAGATCACCCCTCTGTGCCCAATAAAAGTCCCCATCTTTTCGTAGAATTTTCGCGCATTACCTCTGTCGGACAGCTTCCAAAGTTTCTCTTATTCACGCATCTCCGCCTCAATTCTCGCTACATATTAAGCCGTGTGGTGGTCATTAGTAACGTTGCGAGGGAGGCATTAAGCTTTATCACCTTCAGCAATCAGGGATTCTTCGTCATAGAGACTGAATTTTTCAACCATAACCTACTGAATCTACCAGGGGAATGCTAACACTCAGGGCTCGCCTTCTTCCGTCCTTGTCCCGTCTATCGTACTTCTTGGACGTCTTTTAGTCTTACGAAGGCACTCGCGCACAGCTGCACCTCTTGTGAGCAGACGCTGGAATTTGACTTCAGCGAAACCTTAAACTGAATATGTCGGACTGGCACAGAAGCTTCCGCTTTTTAGCCGGTTCGATTACCGTATCTTACACATGTTGCACAATTGTACATAGGAAATAAGTTTTCTATTTCCGGTATTCTTTTGCCAATATCCTGATTATAGTGTATTCTGTTAACGGTCATGAAACACTAATAATTTCTTATTCGGACGGTTCTGAGCACATGGATTGCGCTAAACACTAATTTATATACATATATGTGTATGTGCGCATATATTTTTTAATAAACAGCTTAAAAAACATTTACATATTGTTCTTTTGTCTACAAATATTCATTTAATTTCAGGCTCTAGGTAATAGACTTCTCTTTCTCTTTCTCTGATTGTTGTTGTTATGATGTTGCAAATTATTAATCCTAAGCTAAGTAAAGTTCCTCAGCTGAATAGTTCAGGGTCGCTTTGGTTGTCTCGGAATGCAACTCATGTGGGCGCTCAATTAGGTGAAGCAACCGTCACATCTACTCATACATTGAACGCTTTCACGTACGAATAATGCCTTTGTAAATTTGCGTAGGCATGCATATATTAAAAATAACGCTGATTTGTAGCGCGTGCAAAGGAAATTTTAATGAATGAATTCTCCAGCGACAACGGCGGCGACGACGTCGAAAGATGAATGTGTGGTTATAATTGACAGAAAGGTAGAATTTGGCCGTGCGCCTATCCCCATAAGAAGTGTTTTTCTCCGCTTCAATTTATAGAATGCTTTAAAAAAAGAAAAGTAACTATAAAATTTAATTTTGCAATCCTCTCAACAAGTTATGACAAAACCTATTTTAGCCCGAAACATTTTTGTAGTTTTGAACAAAATCATCGCAGGGAGCGATCGGCAACTCATATGAATCTTTTAATTGGCTGCGCAAATTTGGAATTTATTAAAATACACAATCACTGATTTACAACAAAAAGGACCTGTATTCATGTAGCACTTCAATATTTCATACTTCTCTGAGAGCCTTTTCCACTTTCGCTTTAAAGCTCACCGCATTTTGCTAACCAAAATTGCATTTTAATTGCCTTTTTACGAGCAAACTTAGCTGCCATTTTATTCAGGTAAATATATTCATACGCATATGCACATGTTACCGTCCTCTACCCGTGAATAAATACTCCTTACTACCACCACTCGCAATTGCAGTGGTTTCCTACTATGTTAAAGAGTATAAATGTCCTTTATATATGATTTCTAACACAGCAAAGGGAATAAAATGTAGCTTCGTTATAGTTAATATAATTAAGAGATGTCCTTGAGCTATCCATCTAACACATCGCCTGGTGAATGACAGCTTAAAATGGCAAAAAAATAATATGAACGTCGTGAAGATAATTTATGTTCTGATAAAGAGTCTGTACTGTACGGTTTTCAGAAATAGTATACACATATGTATAATATTTTCTTTCAAATTTTCTAAAATCTAACTGACTCTTTTAAGATAAAATTGGTACCTGACGATTTCTAGACATAGCTCCTGGTTTAATTTTATTCCGTAAATTTAAAATAAACAAAAAGCAAAATAATTTTCAAATTACAGCCACTCATTGAACCGCATTTTTTGGCGACGCAAAACCAACATTAAATTGAATGCACTACAAAGTGTCGGTAATAGCGGCAGGAGTAGTCTGGGAGAGCACTCTAACTGCAGTACATTCACTCAATCGGCGGTTTCATCGTTTCCTCATTGCAGAATAAAGCAAACAACTATTTCCCATATGCAAATCAGAAGGCTGAATAAGCAAATATGCGGTAGTTGCAATATCACTCGCATGCCACAGAGACCTCGCAGGCCTCACAGGCCTCACAGGCCAACCCCATGAACGCAGTGTTTCCGTAGTGATTTTATTTAATGCCCCTTCTCCCCTCCCTTCCATCTGTATCGCATGGCTGAGTAGTAAAATGATATTACTTTTCTGTTGTTATTATATTTTACTATTTAGATAAATTTGCATACATATTTATAAATTTATATATATATATAAAATATATGCTTATGTGTTTAGTGTAATGCTATTTGTTTTACATTTTACTGTCCTTTGGTTAGTTGGTTGCGCCTCATTAATGCAATTTAATTACGAATTTGCATGTTCAAAATTTATTTTGCTCTGCACACACTTATAATTTACTTAAATTACGCATATACAAACAGACACCCGTTTATCGCTTTTCGGTTTTTGCTTTGGGACTTTGTTTTTGGGGTTTCATGATGTACTTTCACTGTGAGTTTAATCGTGTTTATTGTTCTTGTTGCTGTTGTCAAATACAATTTTTTTACAATTGGCGATACTAAACTGGCATAATTGGCAAATAACTTGCACAAGGTTGAGGCTATGAAAATGTTTTGAAATTGTTTTGAGCTGTCACAATTTTCAATGTGGAAATTTTAGTTACTCACAGAACAACTTGGACTGATATTTTGATAAACTTGCCTGGGTCACAGATCCGGCAATAGGGTCAACAAGGAATTTCAGGTGTACCAAAGGGTTTTCAAAACTACTAAGAAAGGTGCCAGATTATCCCTCAATCTACTCACATGCACATCTCCTGTTACTCTAGAAGGAGACGGCAAATTGATAAAGTTCTCAATTCCACTCTGTTCCAAATAAAAGGAAAGTTGTTCAGCGTTGTATGCCTGAACTTCTCGGATTATCTACTTTACAAAGCCTATTTAGAAGGTGTAAGCCCGTTATCACTTACAGGTTCTTAACATATCGCATTCACACTTATAATTATTGACTACCTTAATGTTCATTTCATTTACTTTCTTACATTTAAGTAACTCTCATAACCGAGAACAACAGCTAATTCATGTGTAGACCCTTTGAAACGCCTTAATAACCACTTAAAGTAAGTTAAGTAACTGCAAATTTATATCGAGCTTATTGCCTTAAATTGTAAACCATTTAGCAGCTCATATATTTCAATCAAGACTACATTACACACCTGGACACGGACACTGCCGTGCTGCCCTCCTGAATTGGAAGCAGATGCAGCAGTTGAAAACCCTCTAAAGCCACAGCACGTAATTTATAACTCCTTCCTCATTGGAGTGTCCACGTACCTGCGTACCCTAGGACCTTCAAATATTTCCCAACAATGCGAGATTTGAGTGGCAGCCTCTAAGCCGTTCACAAAGCAAGCATCAACTACAGTATTCGATTACAGCATGCTTGTCTTAATTCCCAACACCTTTAAATATTTATTGGTCTCGTTCATCTCCAGTGCTTACGCAGCCCAGCGTGTCTGCTGCCTTTGCTGGAGTGCAAACACTTCCTGCCCACGATTCATTTTTCTCAACCCTGCGGTTTCGGTCGACGAGTAGATTTATTACCCACAAACACACACCATCTTTACAAGTAGGTAACAACGCTAACCACTTTTACACATAGTAGTTGGCTCATAAAGCCATAAAGTCTAAATAGAGAATGCCACGGTAAGGAAAATAAGTAAATGCGGCTCGGCTTGGCAGGAGTGGTAGACAGTTGGAGAGATAAAATGCTGCGTGCCATTCAAACAAATAAACGCACATCGCTATACATACTTGTAGGAGACAATCCGGTTTCTCTTACAAGCCAAAGTGCCACATCGCTAATAAAAATAAAGAAGATACACAAGATTCTAAGCAAAAATCCTGATTAATAAATGCTTGACTAAAATGTATTAAAAGGTCTTTCAGTTTCTTTATTTTATTATATTCAGTTTTACTTAATTTTGTTTTATATTATTATATTTTTATTTCGTGTTATTTACTTTGTTTTATTTTATTTTATTTTATTTTATTTTATTTTATTTTATTTTATTTTATTTTATTTTATTTTATTTTATTTTATTTTATTTTATTTTATTTGAATTTTAGTGGAAATTTATGGTACGTCTATGTCGCAGTTGGCTTAGTTTCGCCTGAATTATGAGATACGAGAATAAATCTAATTTATCACAAAAGCTTGTAAGGGTAGTAAAGTACCTAACAATGACCATATCTCTGTCGCTTATTCGATGTACACACTTATGTACTTACATATATATTATTGCGATGCCAGAGTGGGGATAAATCCAATTTCATGCTTTTGCTTTATGACAGGAATAGCTTAATTTCATTTGATGGTGGTAAATTTAAGAACAAGTGGTGGTAAAAGGAGAAAGAACGGCTGAAGAAGCAGAAAAAATAAAAATTTGAATAGTGAACATCTTTCTTGTGGAGAAAATTAGGCTTCTGCCAGAGCAAAAATATTTTGAAGGGTTTCTGCCAGTTGATCATTTATGACTGAGATTAATATGCCTTTTTAAAGCCACTCTATTAATAAATAAATTAGTTTGCCTTGTCATCGAATGTAGTATCAAAAACAGCCATTACCAAAAATAATCGGAAGGCGTCAGTTTGTATGTGCCTGCCTCAAATATGTTTCTTCTGTTTTTGTGACTGAAAAGAATCTCATAA